CGGGAATCTCGTAACCTTTCTCAACAATATCCCAAGCATCTTGGGATCCCAACAAGGCTTTCATACGGATGCACCGATTTTTGTAATTGGTTTTGGTAAGGTGGAGAAATTGAATGGGGAAAGTGGATTTTTCGGCCATAGGAAAATTGTGATAACAAAAACACGAGAAATTCTTTTCTGATGTGGAAGTTCAGACTATGCTACAACCACAGAGCATACTCAGAAATAACTCGGGCTCTGATACCACTTTGTTGAAAATAAAATAATTTATTTCCTTATAATTCACAAGACTAATGGTGGCTTTTTTGTGGGGGAATTCCCGTTATTGAGCAAGAATGGAAGGAGGGTTTTTTATTTGGGACAAGCAGAGAAATTTTGGAATGGGCTATTCTTTATTGTTTTGTTACTTTGCTCTGCTACACATCCATTACATGATCCAAAGCCTATTTATAGGCTCACTATCACTAAAAAATCTGCTCATATTTATGAAGGCAGTTGAGAACAGCCTATGTCTTGTGGTGCTGATTTTTCTTTCTTTTTTTAAATCACAACTAACAACTAACCAAGCTTCCACACAATTCCACACATACCACGTTCTAGCAATTTCTGATTTTTGTTGTCTAGATATTTTGCTTAGATATCATTAATTAAACTTTATTTTTAATTTCAACCGTGTAGTATTGGAATTAAAACAAGAGATCACCCTTTCTGTCAGTGTTAGAGAGATTATTTCAACTTTGTTTCCCACTATTATCTGGCCAGTGACTGGAGTTTCACGTTGAGGATGGTTAACAACTTTGCTCATGCAGGGACGACATATGGCAGAATCATATGAGGTATTTGGTGTTGGTATGTAGCAATTTTATGGCGAGAAAGGTGGTGCGAGGCTTTTCAAGCTAGAGCTCGCAGTGAATGGGAGATGATAGATCAGTTCAAACATGATATGCAACTTTTCAGTTTGGGAAACAAGGAGTTCGAGCTAGTGCTTGCTATATCAAGTTGTGCAAATTTAGCTAAGGTAGGACTGTAAAAGTGTAGTTTATTTTTGTAGTAATTAGTTGGGATGCAGGTTGTAAAAAGTTTAAATTATGTATCAAAACTGCTGATTTAGCAGGGTTGTATTTTTCGAGGAAGGCTAGGTTGCTTTGGCCTATCTATGAGCTATAAAATTCTACCATCATGCATTGTTATTGCTTTTGTGCTTCTGTTGTACTTGCTCATAATGTACTTTAGTGCATGCATGTTGTTTCTGGACATCTAGAAACTAGTGATCTCTTTAAAGCTTATTGTTTTGAGCTCTGTTGTGATTTCATGTGGTATCTTCTTAACAAGATCATATATTCTTTCACGATTGACCCTTGTAAGGATAACATGTTGTGCTTTGATGATTTGTTCTACATTATGAGACAAATATTGTTACACAAAATATTTGAATTGCTGTTTTATGAATATCTAATAGTTGTTTGTTTGGTATCATGATCATATTAGATGATACAATGATCATATTGTCATCAAATCAAATCAAATCATGATCATATCCATATCAATATCAATATCATATCAAGATCATATCAGTTCCATATCATGTTCATATAAGTTCATATAAGTTCTATAGTTTCATTTCATATCAAGTTCTTACCTTAGTAAGTATACATACAACGATAGTGATATGAAGTTCATATTAAGATCATATCATTTATGTATCATGTTGATATCAAATTCATATCAAGATCATCATATCATTTCTATAGTTTCATTTCATATCAAGATCATGTCAAGATAATATAAAGTTGTTACCAAAGTAAATATACATACAACAGTTATCTCATATCATGATTATATCAAGTTCTTACCGGAGTAAACATACCATTAACATCTTATCGTATCATAATTTTACACACAACAATAACAATAGAGATATTACATCTAGCTGGTTTTTCTTTGTAGGTTCAACTATGAGAAACTTAACTATAAGAATAGAGATATCGCCTCTATCGGTCTTTCCATTATAGCAGAAATACGAGCAACTTACATACTAAGACTTGACTACTGTTAGAATATGACTTGAATTTGATTTGGGTTTGTTTTGTGTTTTGGGCCTATTCTGGTTGGGTTTGTGTTTGGGTTTTGTTTTGACCCTTTTCCTTGTATGTTTGGGAAAAGGTGTTTGGTTTTCTGTTTGGGAATAGGAGAAGAGTTCTATAAATACTCTTCACCACCCTAATCTGTTGTACGGTCAGTCAGGTTAGTTTGTTTGGTTTGTCTGTTTGGAATTTGGTTTGTAACCTGTACTCTCCTCAAAGTCAGTGAAATTTGTTCTCCCTTGCCCGTGGATTAGCTAGCACACATTGTGTTAGTGAACCACGTTAGATTTGTGTTCGTTCGTGTTGGTCTGGATTATCGATTGCACGCTTCTGTTCTGACAAGTGGTATCAGAGCCTTTGGTTGCGGTTTTGGGAATTCGGCGCTGGACTGAAGTTTTGCTTTGTGGAGTTTGGTTGGAGTTTGTTTGATAATAAGAATGGCTGTTATCAGTATGAAGATTGAGAAGTTTACCGGAAGAAACAGTTTCAGTTTGTGGCAGATCAAGATGCAAGCACTGTTGAAACAACAGGGTTTGTGGGCTCCGTTGTCTGGAAAATCGAAGAAGGAAAGCATAGATGAAGAAGAGTGGATTGCTTTGGAGGAGAAAGCTCACTCTACAATCTTGCTTTGTTTGGCTGATGACATCATCACTGAGGTTGCTGTTGAGAAGACTGCCCCGGGCTTGTGGTTGAAGCTTGAAAGTCTATACATGACAAAGTCTTTAACTAACAAGTTGCATATGAAGCAACGTTTGTTCAGTTTGTGTACGGAGGAAGGTACGTCTCTCAGGAATCATCTAGATCAACTCAATACCATCTTGTTAGATCTGCGGAATATTGATGTTAAAATAGATGATGAGGATGTTGCCTTAATTCTGTTAGTATCTTTGCCACGGTCGTATGAGAATTTTGTGGATTCTTTTATTGCTGGGAAAGATAGTTTGTCTATGGAAGATGTCAGATCTGCTCTACATACTAGAGAGGTTCGACATAAGGCATCTGGTTCAGGTTCGGAAAATCAGTCATCTGGGTTGGCTGCTACGGGAAGTAGGTGACAACAATCTGGTAATAGGAAGGCGAATACAAATTCGAATTCTGCTGGTTTGAAGGATGATATCTGTCATTACTGCAAGGAGAAAGGACATTGGAAATTTGATTGTCCTAAACTGAAGAAATATCAGGAGAAGAAGGAATCATCCGCTGCTGTGGCGGAAGAAACTAACTCTGATTCTGAAGATGGTTTAGCCTTAGCAGTGAATGAACATGTACATCAATATGATGTGTGGTATTTAGATACTGCAGCTGATTATCATATGTGTCCAAGCATGGAGTGTTTTTCAACTTATGAGCATATAGATGGAGGGCATGTTTCTATGGCCAATGACGTTATCTGTAAGATTGTTGGAAGAGGCTCCATCAGGATAAGGACACATGATGGTTCTGTTCGCACCTTGAACAATGTTAGGCATATTCCAGAGATGACTAAGAATCTGATATCTTTGAGTCTACTCGACAGCAAAGGTTTCAGTTTCAAAGGTGAAGGTGGAGTGTTGTTTGTCTACAAGGGTTCTAAGGTGATTTTGAAAGGTATCAAACGGGGTGCCTTGTATAATCTACAAGGTTCTGTTTTGACATGCTCTATTGGTGATAAGTGCACCAAGTTGGTTCTGGATGGCAAGTCTCAATATGGATTGGACTTGCCGAATGGTTTGAGTTGTTGACCGCCCTTAGGGGCATTTGGAGGCAGGGGAGATTCTGGTACAACTGATTTGGAGGAGTTAGTACGTCTGACAATTCTGATTGCATCTGAGTTTGGCGATTTGCATCGCGTTTGAGTTTGGTGATTTCGATCACATCTGGATATCTGCGATTTCGATCGCATCTGGATAAATTTGGCAATATGGATCGGGTCTGGGTACATCTGGCAACTTTGGTTGCGTCTGGTACATTTGGTATTTGAGAGAAAATTCAAGTTAAGGTGGAGATTGTTAGAATATGACTTGAATTTGATTTGGGTTTGTTTTGTGTTTTGGGCCTATTCTGGTTGGGTTTGTGTTTGGGCTTTGTTTTGACCTTTTTCCTTGTATGTTTGGGAAAATGTGTTTGGTTTTCTGTTTGGGATTAGGAGAAGAGTTCTATAAATACTCTTCACCACCCTAATATGTTGTAAGGTCAGTCAGGTTAGTTTGTTTGGTTTGTCCGTTTGGAATTTAGTTTGTAACCTGTACTCTCCTCAAAATCAGTGAAATTTGTTCTCCCTTGCCCGTGGATTAGCTAGCACACATTGTGTTAGTGAACCACGTTAGATTTGTGTTCGTTCGTATTGGTTTGGATTATCGATTGCACTCTTCTGTTCTGACAACTACATAGTTTTTTACTATGAAATTGTTAGAATGTAATTTTCTTAGGTATAGTAGGAAAATCGTCACCTTCTTTTTCCTTTTTAGACGGCGTTTCAAATCTCTTGACTGCTCTCTTCTTTTTTTGGCATGTTTCGAAGTTGAAGTGAAATCAGAGTATTAGGGTTAGTGGCTTTGTTGACGAATCGAAGATCTGCAATCCTATGGTCGTGGTTTGATGTAGTATCGTGAAGTCAGGCTTGCGATAAGTATAAAGTATTTGTGTGAGGGAGATTTATTCGGTTGCAGTTGGTTGCAAGATTGAGGACGAGGGAAGTTTCTGAGCTTCGGGGAGACGAATAGTTTCACGAGGTTCTTTGTGTTGGGACTTTCCCAAGGCTTGGTTTAGACATGATTTACCCTCTGTTTTTTTAGGGCGGAAAAGGAGGTGAAGGAAAGATTAGGGGGAAAAGTGGGATTTTCGATGAACTTTCCCCCGTTCTCGAAAGCAGGCACAGTGACGAGGGGAGGGAAAGTGGATGGACAAGTCACTGTTTAATCTTCACCCCCAAATTGGAGAGAAACACTATGTTCATTTAGAGCGGAAAAGGGGGGAAAGGAAAGTTTAGGGCGGAAAGTGGGAGTTTCAATAAACTTTCCCCCGTTTCCGAAAGCAAGCATAGTAACAAGGAGAGGGAAAAGAAAGGAAAATGCCACTGTTGAACCCTCTCCCCCAAATCGGAGAGAAAGTGCACAATTAACCTTCTCTTCCTTTTTCTTTTATTTGCTAGGACAATTAATTCTTTTACTTTTCCTTTTTTTATTTGCCAGCCCTCTCCTCTCTCTCCTCTCTCCTTGCTATCTTCTTCTTCCCCAAACACAACCCAAACCAGAAACAGGGAATCTTCTTCTCTGTTGAGCTCGCCACTAATTACTCCCACAACGAAAAAAATTCCTCGATCTTCTGCTCGTTTTCTCATCACCGTTCGCCATCGTTTTGGCCATCGCGATCTGTTTTCTCTCCAGTCTATCATAAATCAGAAACAAGAAAGGCGATCGGAGATCGGAATCCGATCGAGAGAGGGAGGGAGCGATCCCACTTCTGTCTCTTTTTCCCTCCATCAAAATCCAGAAAAAATAAGAAATTATCAGAAAATAACCCTAGAACCCCAAATTTAAAGCATGCAATGGTTGAAAACTGCTCACCGTTCGTCACGTCGCCCGGACGCCGTTGATCTTGTCATCCTCGTTGAAGCTTCTGAGCCCGGACCGGCAAATCGAGGTCGAGGGAAGAAAGGATAGTTGATTTGGTGTTCTACGATTGTCTGGCTTTCCAAGAATGGGAACGGAGATAGAAGAGGAGAGCATGGAATGGAAAGGAGATCGGTATTAGAGCTACTTTTTCTTGTTCCATTTACTAGAGAGGCAATACAGAGATAAGATCATAAGAAAGACTTTGGGGGTGGAGGATTAGGGCGGCTGATTAATATAGTTTTATATTATGGAAACTTCTCAATCTCTTTTATATTAAACCAAAAATTATTGCTATAAAATATTAATTATTAAATAATTCATTTAAATTTTAAATATTATTTTCATATGTGGAATCTAGCGTATCGCATACGTGTACAATACATAAGTTTTGTTATGTTGTTTTGACAAGTAGTATTTTCCAGCCAGTGATACAATTGGTAGTCCAGTTACAACGAATGAGATAAGTTCCATTATACGTAACGTTGTTTTGCACCATACATAACACTGTTGTATGAGATATAAAAACTTGTTACGCTCCTCAAATTTATGTATCTTTAATTTGTTGTATGTTTATATATTTAGTTGCTATGTTATTACTCAATAAAATAGTTAACAAAATTTTAGTAATAGGTTGAAAAATTTCATTCAAATAACCAACTTTTGATTTGTTGTAGTTAACAAAATTAACAAAGAATAACAAATTTGATCCACGTTACATAATTAATGTAAATAGTATAAACACATAATTAAATTATTTAACTATTCTATCATCAATAAAATATAATACATATCACATTTCCCAATCTACTTTTTCCCTCCCACTTTCCCTTCCACTTTCCTCCATTAAACAACATTTTCTTTTCAATTCCCTCTAATTTCCCTCCCTTCCAAACTTAACCTCCCCTCCAAATTTTCCTACCCTCCCCTCCTTTTCCTCCCTTCCTTCATGAACATAGTGAAAGTGTCAATTAACACTCTTTTTCCTTTTTCTTTATTTGCCAGGACAATAAAGTATAAACCTTTCACTTTCCCTTTTTTTATAATTGCCAGCCCTCTCTCTTCTCCTCTCCTCTCTTTCCTATCTTCTTCTTCGTTCTCCCCAAATGCTAAACGAAACCAAAAACATAGATAACTTTTTTCTTCCACTCCATCACCTGCTCTCTTCTCGTTGACTACTGCTCCTCCTAATAGGTCTCTATCCCATTCTCGTCTTCTCATTGTCGTTCGCCATCGTTTTGGCCGCCGACGACCTGTTAATCAGAAACGAGAAAGGCGGTCGAAGATCGTAATCCGATCGAGAGAGGGAATGAGAGGGATTCCACTTCCATCTCTGTTCCACTCTGTCAAAAGCCATAAATCAAAAATAAGAAATTATCAGAACTCTAATTAACCCTAGAATCGCAAATTGAAAACAAGCAATGGTTGAAAATCACTCACTGTTAGTTAAGTCGCTCGGACACCATCGTCATTGAAGTTTCTGAACCCGAACCGGCAGATCGAGGTCGAAGGAAGAAGGGAGAGTCAATTTGGTGTTCTCCTTTTGTCTGGCCTTCACAAAACGGGAACGACGATGGAAGACTGGAGACTGGAATGGAAAGGAGATCTAGATTAGAGCTACCTTTTATTTTTCTTGAGACAGAGAGAATAAGTGAGGGCTGAGAGGTGAGGATAAGGGCGGATGAATTAAAGGGCTTTAGATTAGGTTTTTCTTCTCAATCTTTTTCTATTAAACGAAAATTTATTTGGTATAAAATATTTATTATTTAATTAATAGAGAATTAATTTAAATTTTAAATATTATTACTATGTGGCACTACTTATCGCACACGTGCACAACATGTAGGTATCGTTACGCTGGTTTGACAAGTGATAATATGATTTTAGGGGTGGGCATTCGGTCGGTTCGGTTTCGACCGAACCGAAATTATGAATATCGGGTCCCCGAATTCTCCCAAACCTCAAACCGAATTCGAACCAAAATATAATTCGGTTCGGTCTGTTTAAACCGAATTATAATTCGGTTTGGTTCGGTTTTTCACACAAAACCGAATTTGTGAAGCTACTTGTATTTTCTCACTTTTAAATTATTTTTCACCCCTAATATAAACAATAAATATCAATTATATGCATCATCAATGATATAACCAAACTTTTCAACACATAAGTCATAAAATATTTCAAATATTTAAGTCTAAAAACACCTACAAACATAAAAATCCACCATTTGGAGCTTGCAATTATAGTATTTCGGTTTTTCGGTCGGAAATTCGGTTCGGTTGAAAGAACCCTGATTTCCGAACTATCCATATTTTCCTTCCGAATTCCGAACCGAATAGCATTAATTCGGTTCGGTTCGGTTTAATTCGATTTCGGTTCAGTTTGATTCGGGTTTACCGAACCGTTTGCCCACCCCTATATGATATGCTCCGACAGGTGGTACAATCGATTTATGCCACTTAAAGTAACAAAAAATAATTAGTAAGAAAGTGCAAATTTAATTCACAATTTCTAACCAATGAAAATAATATCAACATATCATCAAATTATTTTACCATTATATACCCAATAAAATAACACATCCATCACAATTCCCAATACATATTTTCCTTCCCTCTTTCCTTCATAAAACACAATTTTCCTCCCAATTTCCTTAACCTCCCAATCTTCCCTCCCCTTCTAATTTCCTTCCCCTCCCCTCCATTTTCCTCCCTTTCTTCGAGAACAGGGGGTTAAAGTCTGGCGTGCTGCTCACCTTAGAAACTGCTTTTGTTGCAAAATTACCATGCTGCCCTCAGTGTCATTTAAGCTTATGTGGACGGTTATATTGGAAATAGGATAGACGATTGATGATCTAGTTTTGTAGGGGGTTTATCAAGGTTGTCAACCCGCGGGTCAGCCCGCGGGTCGACCCGGGTTAACCCGGACCCGGTAACAAAAACGGGCGCTACAAACCCAATTAAGAAATAGCCCGGCCTAGTCAAACCCGGCTTTAACCGGTCAAAACCCGGCAAACCCGGGCGGGTCTACCCGCGGGCCGCAGCACTAGTACCCGGGTTTGTACAAGTAACAGTCAGACTCATTTAAATTTAATCATTTATAAGCTCTCGGTCCACAAGAAAGTGGAGGATACGAGGGGTCTCATCCCATCCGTGGCTTTGATTATTTCAACTTTCAAGGATTAATTAATTTTGGCTTCATAATAAAATGCAGTGGCTTTCCAAATTCCAAATTCCCTTCTTCTTGTAATGTTTAATTAATTAATCATTTTATTGTGCTCGTATATACAAGCCAATTACTTATTTCAAGTTATAATTTCGAATATTGGTGTCATATGGTTAACTTAATTGTATTAAAATTTTTATTATATATTGATTTAAGTACTAACTATTATTTTGATGTAATGTTATATGTTATTTGTTTATATATATTTGATATAATTTATATATGTATGAGTAATATAATGATTATTAGGTTCAAATATAATGATTATTCATATAATAATTTATATATATTATTTTTTTCATATATTATGTGATGGATTTAAGTTTTGTTGAATTTTAATTATGTTGAATTTAAGTTGATGTTATTTAAGTGTGTTGGAGTTTAAGTAGTGTTTTATTTTTTCTATGTTGGATTCAGGATAAGTACAATGTAATGACTCTTTTCATATTTTCAGACTAATCCGGGCTAATCCGGGCTAAAATGGGTGACCCATTAACCCATGACCCACTAGTTCGTCCGGGTCCGGGTCGACCCGCGGGTTGACAACCTTGGGGTTTATAAATATGAGTTTTGTACCCTATCCATTTTCATAGTTTATTCTTTCATTGGAGTAATAAAGAAAGGGAGAAAATATTCCTTAAGTGTTGCACTTTCCTTTATGATCCTTTTTTACTTTTAATTCATAATTTTTTTTATTTATTATATGTTTGGTGCCCCTTGCTTAGTACCACTCCAACTTATGTACGTACGATATGTGCATTGCACCCAATACATGCTTGTGTGGCACCTACTAATTATATTCATTGAAGCATTGTAGGCACACTAATTATTAATCAAATCTTTTATGCATTTTTTTTATTAGTCAAAGCCCAAACATATTGAATTACTAATAATTAGCCAAATGCTAACTTGGAAGAGATACATAGATGCCAACATTCCAAAACTTTAGCATTTTAACTCTGAAAAGGTTACTAAATTATTAACTGTAACATAAAAATGGTTAATATTTTGATGCTGTTTACCACTAAAAAATCACTCAATACCACATTGATTATTTTCAAGGAGTAGTAGTGATTTATAAGGCCAACTTAACCATATTAATTAAATTGGTAAGTTGGGCCTAAATGATGGTATTTTGGGCTTCATACCAGGTACCTCAACACACACTACTTGACCCACCAAACACCCATCCGTCACGCAGGGGGGTCAAGTGTCAAGCGTGTTGACACCCTTCAACATCAACCACCCAAGTCGTGGAGAGCCAAAATATTGGCTAAGTGTTGAGACCCACAGCACAAGGGGGGTCATGCATGACACCGTCCAAAGGGGTCAAGCACTAGGGTGTCAAGCATGATGCCGAGGTGAAAATTGGCTAAGTATGGAGATCCAACCGTCCAAGGGGGTCAAGCACTAGGGGGTCATGCATGACACCATCCAAGGGGGTCAAGCACAAGGGGGGTCATGCATGACATCGTCCAAGGGGGGTCTCGTACATGGGGGGTCATGCATGACACTGTCCAAGGGCTCAAGCACAAAGGGGGTCATGCATGACACCTACCTCGCGGGTAATTACCCCTAGACATGATGGGGCGAAGAAAGCCAAAATTTGGCTAAGTGTTCAGACCCACAGCACAAGGGGGGTCATGCATGACACCGTCCAAAGGGGTCAAGCACAAGGGGGGTATCGTACATGGGGGGTCATGCATGACACCGTCCAAGGGGGTCATGCATGACATCATCCCAGGGGGTCAAGCATGATACCATCCAATGTGAGTTGAGTATGACGAGACGCGAGCTAACTGTGGTGGCAAAGAGAGCCAAAATTTGGCTAAGTGTTGAGACCCATAGCACAAGGGGGGTCAAGCACTATGCCATCTACCTACTATGCACCAGGGGGATAATGCATGACACCGTCCAAGGGGGTCAAGCACTAGGGTGTCAAGCATGATGTCGAGGTGAAAATTGGCTAAGTATGGAGATCCAACCATCCAAAGGAGTCAAGCATGACACCGTCCAAGGGGGTCAAGCACCGGATACCAAACACTAGGGTGTCAAGCATGATGCCACCCCAAGGGGGTCAGATCCATCGAACCCCCAAGCACCCTGGTGTCGAGCATGACGTCATGTCAGGTGGTTAGCACGAGTACCACCAAGCGTGAAGCCTTCACTCATCAAACAAGACACCTCCATGGCACAAGGGTTAGTTATCAAGTGGCAAGCACGCAAGACAGTCAAGGCGTCAAGCAAGCTACAT